TATTATGTTGTTTTGTACACCTGACACTAATAAAAAATACAAAAAAATAAAGTAAGTAATTAGAAAACGCAGGATCAATGAACTGTATTAAGTGTTAAGTATATACATATATTTTAGAAATGTAGTTCTATATTATAAAGCAAAGTATACCTCCCTATAACAGAGAGCTGGAAATGTCTTGAGATTATGAGGAGGGGGCTAATGTTTTTCTAACTACTGGATTTTGAGCAGCTCTTTTTCCTTTTTATTAAATTTTTATTTTTAAATTACAATTGACATTCAACGTTGTATTAGTTGCAGGTGTACAGCATAGTGATTAGACATTTACATAACGTATGAAGTGACCCCCCCAATTAGTCCAGTACCCCCCGACGCCATGCATAGTTATTACAATATTACTGACGATATTCCCCGTGCTGTGCTTCACATCCCCGTGACTGTTTTGTAACTGCCTATTTGTGCTTCTTTATCCCTTCACCTTTTCACCCAGCCACACTCCCTTCCCCCTCCCACCCACCTGTGACCATCACTTTGTTCTCTGTCACAGCAGCTCCTTTAAAGGGGACGTTCTCCAGGGGCCCCCACTTGAGAATAAAACTCAAAGTTCTTTTGATGACCTCCAAGGCCCTGTGAGATCCGGCTTCTGGTTTCCTTTCCGGTCTCACCTCCATCCACTTTCTCCCATGCACACTCTGCTCCAGCTACATAGAACTTCTTGTTGCTCAGCCACGTTTGCCCTTGCTGTCCCCTCCGCCCAGGACGCTCTTCCTCCAAATATTCTCACGGTGGCTCCCTCGCTTCGTTCATGTCTCTGCTTAGAGGTCAGCTTTTAGAGAGGCCTTCCCAGACCATTGTGTATAAGGCAGGCTCGCCCCCACCGACCCCCACTGTGCCCCTTACCTGCTGTACCTCCTCACCCGTGTGTGGTTCATTTATTGTCCGTGTCCTTCCCCACTCGGATGTCTGCTTGCAGGGGGAAGGGGCTTTGCCTGTTTTGTTCACTGCTCTGTTCCCAGCACTTGGGATACAACCTAGCTCACAGTAGGTGTCACTTGAATGCTTTTTGAATGAGTGAATTCATGAACAAATATAGACCAGGGTTATAAAGCATTGTTTTTCTTTCTTGGGGAACGTTGGTGGTTGTGTGGGGTGAGAGCACAGGGTACGTGTTGGGATGCGCTGGGCAGCTTCTCACATGGCCCCATGTTCCTGCCTCCTGGTAGTCTTCCCCTTGCATAGTCTCCTTCTCTAGGGTGTGGGCTGGCCTCACTGCTAATGAATATATACAGTGGAAGTAATGAGATGAGGTTGCAAAAGACCAACTTCCCTCTTGCTTGTAGTCTCTCTTTAGCTCTTGTCACTTTTGGCTCTGAGAAGCCAGCTGCCATGTTGTGAGCTGCCTAATGCAAAAGCCCATGTGGTGAAGGACTGAGAGCAGCCTCCAGCCCACTGCCGGGGGGTCAGGGTGGGAGGGGAGAAGGGGTGCGGGGAGGGTGGGGGGAAGAATCCTGCTAGTGAACATGAGATTGAACTTGAAAGCAGATCCTTCCCCAGTTGAGCTTTGAGATGAAGGCAGCACCCGCTGACATCTTGACCAAAGCCTCGTGAGACACCCTGAGCTAGAGCGCCCAGATAAGCCATCCCTGGGTTCCTGAACCACAGAAACTGTGGGATGATAAATGTTGTTGTTTTAAGCCATTAAAATTTTAGGGTAACTTACTATGCAGCAATATATAGTAATACCTCAGTTTGCAAGCATAATTCATTCTGGAAACAAACTACTCGTATTGCAAGACATTGCTTGTTTACCACGTTAAAACGTATTAGAAATGTTTGCTCATCTTGCGGAACACTTGTAAACTACGTTACTCGCAATCCAAGGTTTTACTGTATTACTGACACATGGCATCTGATGGGAGATGAGACCAGAAAGACGACAGTTTGGGTCTGCACGGGGAAGGGGTTTATGCCATGTGAAGGAGGGGTAGGCAGAATAACAGCCTCCCAAGATGTCCGCGTCCTAATCCCTGGAACTGGTGAGTGCGTTTACGTGGTAAAGGGAATTAAGGGCTCACATGGAATTAAGGTTGCTGTAATAATAAACTGACCTTAAGATAGGAAGATTACCTTGGATTATCTGAGTGGAACCAGTGCAATCACAGGGGTCCTTGTATGTGGAAGAGGGAGGCAGGACAGTTGGAGAAGGTGATGTGATGTTGGAAGCTGAGGTCAGAATGATACGATTGCTGGCTTTGAAGATGGAGGGGCCTCTAAGCCTAGGAATGCAGGCGTCTTCCAGAAGCTGGAAAAGGCAAGGACACAGGTTCTCCCCTAGAGCCTCTACAGCCCTTTCAACACCTTGATTTCGGCCCCGTGAGATCCATTTCAGACTTTTGACCTCCAGAACTGTACAATAATACATTTGTTTTAAGGCAGTAAATTTGTGGCAATTTGTCACAGCAGCAGTAAGAATCTAATACCGGAATAGGAAGCTAGCGTGGTGTTGACCTTGAGTTCCAGAGCCTGCTCGTGACCATCCTGAGGGGCTCCATGCTCCTGGGTGTGCCCACTCTTTAAACATACGCTTCCTTGTAAACGACCACTTATGGTCATGGTTGCTGCAAGACTGATTATGACACGATTGTTTCAGTTAGCAAATCGCTTGCAGAACGGGAACCACGCAGGCCATGCGTTTCCTAACTGCATAATATATTTTGACAGTCCTTGGTGAACTATGGACTGGGCTTATTGATTGATTGATTGGTTTGGTTTTTTTGCTTGCTTTCTTGCTTGTTTTTTTTCCCTGTGCCTAATTTCCTGGTATCAAAGCACCCAGACTCTCTCTCTGGACATCTGAAAGGTTTATTTGTGTTGATTATTTGCTGTGGCAGCAGATGGAAGTTTCACGCCTCAGACTCTGTGTGGGTTTTGTGATCGTCCTAAGCCTTAGGAGCTTCTCAGATAGCAAGTGTGACCAGAGCTAGGTTTCACGGGCCCATGTTAGTGGAACGCTATGGGAATGTGATTCCATTCACCTCCATGTCTACCTCTGAGATTAAAGGCATTTCTGTCAGGTGGCAGGGTTACTACATTCTACTGGAGATGACTGACTGGGACAAACTCAGCTCCCTCTGTTAAAAATGGAAGCTGGTAGTGCTACAGGGAAGGGTTAGGAAACATAGCAGCATCAAGTGAGATTTGATGCTTGATCGAATCAGAAGAATTTAAATAAGAATTGCAAAGAAAATGACTTTTTAATGCTGTGATGGCATCTTATTTGATTCCATGTCAGTACACTAATTAGAATGAACTTTTATTATTCTAAAACCACATTTGGGAAGATAGGTCTAAGACAAATTGGGTGCTTTACTGGTATTGACTGACTATTATTGAAAGTGAGCTACAACAGAGAGAGAGGAGAGGGGAGGGGAGGG